GATCAAGGGTGGACGATGATCACTTCAGTAGAGACGGTGTTAATAATAGCGCCTAAACGACGATCGAGATCACTGATGAGAACTGAAAATGGGGGTTTTTTGAACACTTTAATCGATTTACGAGGAACGGTGAACGATGATGATGATCTAACGATTGAGGTTTACTCGCGAGGTGATTTAGGTGTGATTGATGGTGACAGTGAACGCCACCGCTAATCGGAAAAGGCTAAATAGAGACGACAATGGCTTGAGAACGGTGAAGGGGTTTTTGGAAGCTTGAAAAGTAAAAAAAATGAACAAGGAAAAAATGTTCTTAGGGCAAAGAGTTACCAAAACCATCCAAATAAATTATCATTTCTCATTAACTATAGTAACATATCCTAGTTGGTAGAGGCTTAGCTAATCATACCATAGGTCACGAGTTTAAGGCCTGCCAACCTTACCTTATTCATTCTTTTTTTCTTTGCAGATGTGAGATGGTAAAATTTAGGCCTAGGTCCTCAAATTTTCATAAATTTTGAAATCTACCATAAAATCCTTAGAATCATACAAATTAGTTCCAAATTTAATTAAATTAAATTCAAATTGAAATAAAATGAAAATTAGGGTGTGACAGGTTCCATGTCTAATGAGTTCATTCCTTCCTGTGTATTCGTCAAGGAGACCCATTCTCGCCTTACTTGTTTGTCCTTTGTATGGATTGACTTGCTCATGGGACGCAATGTGTTGTTAGTAATGATTACTGGAAACGGTAAGGCTTGCTCGAAATGAACCTCCTCTTTCACATATGTTATTTGCAGATGATCTAGTTCTGTTCCCGAAGCCTCCTTGTCTTAGCTGGATATTATTCAGAGGGTCTTGGGTGATTTCTATGAAATTTTCAGGCACAAAGCGAGTATTAATAAAACAAACATTCGTTTATCGCGTAATGTTGATACTTGTCTGCATGAGGATATCAGTGCGAGGTTCCAATTTACGCAAGTGGATGACCTGGGTAAATATTTGGGGTTCCTTTACTCCACAATCGAGTTACTTAGAACACTTATTATTATATTTTCAAAAAAAGTGCGAGATCGTTTGGGGGGTTGCCTGGAAAAGTCTCTATAGCTGGCGGGTCTGATAGTTCTGGCCAAATCAGTCTTAACTGCTCTTTCGTCATACGCAATGCAATCGTGCTATTTTCCAAAGAAGACTTGTAATGATATTGAAGCTATCATTCGTGGTTTTATTTGGGGTGACTCGGGAGAAAATCGCATGATGCACCTCATTCGATGGTCCGAAGTCTATGAACCTATTGATGTTGGTGGCTTAGATGAAGATTGGTTTTTGTTCGATTTCCTAGTATCATCAATTGTGGGCTCGGGTTCTCCGGAACAAGTATAAAGTCCAAGATTTGGTATCTACTACCATATCTCGGTGTGGTTGCTCTAGACTTTGGCAGGGTATTCAGATGGTTTGGGAAGAGGTCCGCAAGGTCTTGATTTGGCATGTTGGAAATGGTGAGTCGATTGACTTCTGGCAGGATTGCTGGTTGCATGATACGGGTCCTCTTGCCGAGGGTTTGTAACTCCCATAGCGAGTTATATTATTCGGGCATGAAGCTTAAAGATATGGTGCTTCCTTCAGGTGATTGGAATTGGAATCTGTTGCACAGTTTGCTTCCCCAGCAGGCCCTTCTCTCTATTGCTAGGCCCTTCTCTCTATTGCTGCAGTATCGCTTCCTATTGTGAATGGCGTGGTCGATTATCCAGGGTGGCGGTGGGATGTCCAACACTGTTTCACCACCAAAAGCGCGTATGTGCGGCGTTTGGGCCACATTGAGAACGATGATTCTCAGATTTGGAAGGTCGTGAATAAGTTCAAAGGCCTTCTCCGGGTTCGTATCCTTTTGTGGTTGTTTTGTCAGGGTCGTTTACTCTCGAATGAGGAGCGGGTTCGTCGTCATATGTCCGAAGATCCTAGTTGTTCCATTTACGGAGCTAGTGTGGAGTCTTCCTCGCACATATTTCGTGAATGTGTTGTTGCTCGGGATACTTAGAGTGCGATGGTTAAGTTAGAAGTCATCGATACGTTCTTGAGCATGGATATTCATAGTTGGGTGGAAATGATATTACGAATCCTAGCCACTTTCCGATTGTTTCTGTAGATCGGGATTTGCTTTTTGGTTCCATTATATGGTGTTTATGGATTCGTAGGAATCATATGATTTTTTATCGTAACTTTTGCGCGACGGAATCGATTCTAGCCCAGAGTACCCGTCTTCAGGCTGAAGTTGTGCACTCTTTGGTGATGCGATCACTGTTTCAAGGTAATTCGACCCGACTGAATTGAAATGCTACGTGGAAACCTCCTCCTCCCCCCGGTTGGATCAAGATTAACTCTGATGGTGGTTATAATTCTCACTTCGGCTTGGAAACCTGTGGCGGTGTGTTGAGGGATAGTGAAGGGGCATGGGTCTTAGGTTTTGCTAAGCTTATTGGGCGGTGTTCGACTTTGGTCGCGAAGTTATGGGGTGTTCTTGAGGGTTTATTATTGGCCTGGGATCTAGGATTCCGATTGGTCATGGTGGAATCGAATAATAAGCAGGTTGTTCAGAATTTTAATGATCCGAGGGAGCGTAACCGCTCTTCGCTACACCACCATATTGTTGTGCTGCTCAAGAGGCAATGGCGGGTTTGTTTGGTTCATGTTCCGAGGGAGTGCAATAAGGTAGCTGATGGAATGGCTCGTTTGGCATGAAGGCTCTCGTTGGGATCTCATCTTTTCCACAGCCTCCTCCAGTGATTTACTCATCCTTTTTCGAAGATAATTGCCACGACAGCTCTATTTAAGTTCTTGTTTTTCCTCCTTACATTAAAAAAATCTTCTACCACTATAATTACACCAAAATTTAACTTAATTATCAAATTATAATTTAAGTCCAAATATAACAAACATTTTCACTCGTGTTTAATTGGTGACAAGGCACATACCATATCTTTAATTTGCATAATGTGGTACATACTACGTCTTTTTTTTTATGTGATATAGAACATGTTACACCATCACTTTAAGTGATATGACATGGGTATGCCATTATTTTTTTCTTTCTACATTTATGTTATTGTTTTAGTAACGTGACATGTAATATGTTAACATTAAATACATATAGAAATATCACGTCAACAACACATTTTGTTCGTTAATCAATTAATAATTTTCATTCCACATGAATTATTTTAATTAAAGAAATTAAAACATTTAACCAAAAAAACTTTTTTTTTAAAGAAAATATCATAGTAACAATTTAAATAAACATTGGAGTTAATTTTATCAACGTGCCAAATTGCTATTATTTTATTAATTATTATATATATATATATATATAAAAGGGGAGTAAATTATATCGATCCGACCCGATGCAATGCCATTCCGACATCCGAACCCACTTGGCGCTCAAGGTTCTACCGAATCTTACTTCCTTCATCGTCCATGACATAGTCCTTTGTTTTTTTGGACAACATCACCAGATTCACGTAAGTAGGCTCATCGCAGCTGGATTTTATTTTTTTTTTGGATAATTCAATCATATATTACCCAAAGAGCAAGAAATGCTACAAAACCAGTGTTCAAATTACAGGTTAGGAATGCTAATTACAAAATTTACAGCAATCAAATAATACCCCAATTGTTACAAAGAGTTTGGTTATTAGCAAAACCGTGTAAAAATAAGCCATTATTAGAACCTCTAACAAGCAACCGTCTTGCCATTTTTGGCATTGGAATCTTGTTCTGCTATTCCTTTGTTTCTCTGTTGAAGCGACCCGACTCAATCTCTTGCTTCATTTCAAGAAACAACTCAGGAAGTAAAACAAAACAAAAATGAAACCAAACAGAATAATATTATTATGATTAATAAAAAAGATTGTTGCTTTCTTCTTTAATCGAAAATCCCATTCTTTCTCACCTGTAACTTGTAAGCATCTCCTCCTTTTTCCCTTTTGGATTGAATTCAATGCATCTATCCACGTTAATCATGGTGTTTTTTTTTTCAAATATCAAGGTGATACCTTTTTGGAACACGGGTCTCTTTTTCTCCCCTTTTTTCAGTCAAATTATTTGCCTTTTGGTTCCTGGGTTTTTGTTCTTCTCCATTTTCATCTCATTTCTTGTAGGCCGATAAATATATCGGTAAAGTGGAGTTATTTTTATAAATATATATCAGGATTTATTTATTATAAAGAATATGTAACAAAAATTTATGAGATATTAAATGATAAATCTAGCGTCGATCAGGGCACCAAGAACGTAATCACATTGTTGAACCTCGTTAAAATTTTTGTGTTTTTTTTGTTTTTTTACCCAATTATTCAATATGTAGCTTTTCAAGCCCTGTTTTTGCTTCCTATCTTCTCTAGAATGTTGCATTTTCTTGTAATACATTTGGTGAAATCATTTGTTTTTTTTATGTTTTTTTTAAGTTGTATAGGATCTTCATTTTTCATAATTTTTTTGTTCATGAAATGTAAAGAGGTATGGGTTCCATTGCAGATATCTTCAGCTTTTAATTCTAAGCTTGTGAACCAGCTGCTAACTTAATCAAACCTTGAAGCTTCCAAACACCAATCACAACAAGGCATGCCCCCAGCAAGCATGGCTGATATATTTGAACATTCATCTCATTGGATGGAAGGGGATGTTGGTTCGCCTCAAAGGAAATTGGTCGAGTGTCGGATTTGTCACGACGAGGATGAACATTTGAACATGGAGACACCGTGTTCTTGTTGCGGCAGCTTGAAGGTCCGTTGTACATCAACTGGTTCTTTTTAGTTGGAACCTCAATGTCATTACTCTTAGACCATAGGAGCAATGTCTGATCACTGATTTCTAATTCAATTGAATAAGTTAGCATTGCATTCTTCATGTTACCTTGAATGTATGCTAGCGGTTAGCCTTTTCCGAGAGAAGAAAACCAAGCCTCGATCGAAAGCCATTAGACATGCATATCAAGAAAACTAGGACACATTCAACCAACAGTTTTCATGATTATTGTATCTTGATTGTTGCAATATGCTCACCGGAAATGTGTCCATAGATGGTGCAATGTAAAGGGGGACATCATCTGTGAGATTTGCCTGCAGGTCCGACCGTTGTTTATTTGTCGGTTTATCATCTGCACCCTTGTCTTTCCATGAATTTGAATGAAACCAATTTGGTTCTCTTTTGTTGGAATATTTGCACAATTGCAGCAATACAGGCCTGGTTATATGGCACCACCTCCTTTATATCATTATGGAGTTGATCATTTGAACTTCGGGTATATCCAATCTCCAGCTATATTCTATCCTTTTTTCTGTATAATGTAGTTGTTTCCTTCACTCGTCTACAAAGAATTGTGATATCAACTCAGAGGGAATTGGGAGATTTCCGGGAGAGACTTGCGAGGTCCGCATTGATCTAGTTGTTTCCTTCACCCTTGTCTCTTTTGTTTCCTTCACCGTTGTTTCCTTCACTCGTCTACAAATAATGTAGTTGCAGGCACAGTCACGAATTATTAGTGTACATTGATCTAGTTGAGTCTGCATCGCATTGGAAGGAAGAAGTGAATATCCAGTACTCTAATTGTCCTTGCGGTTCGAGAAAACTACCAGGAAACGTATCCGATGATGGCTGTTCGACTTCAACAGCTGCTGTCATCGTCATGATTCTTGATCAGATGAACAAAAGGAAGTTCGTTGTTTATCAGAATGGAATTTTACTGCTATAATGTGTACAGTTATGGAAGTAGCAGCAAATATAAATATGACACAGTAGGATTAGATTACTATTGGGGATGGAGAATATTACGAGTTCATATGAAAAACCCAAAGTATACGATAAGGGTGGGTTTGGTTCGCGGTTGTGTTCCCATATTTAGTTCACGAAAAAAAATTATCATGTAATAATTTATGGAAAAGATGATCACATTCAATTGGCCACAAAGATTCACAAACATGAAGATTATATGTTATGCTTTATGACTCAAAGTATACATTAAGGGTGCGTTTGGTTTGCGGTTGTATTCCCATGTTTGGTTCACGAAAAAAATTATTTGTTGAGTTAATCGATCGATGAAATCGGCCAAGAGGGGGTGAATTGGCAATTAAAAATTTGGTTGAAACTTTTACAGAAAATTGAAAGTAACTTGCATAGCAATTTAGAGTGGTTCGACTTTCTCAACCAAAGTCTAATTCCACTACCTTAGCTATCCACACTAAGGATTTTCCAACAAATTCACTAATTTGTTCTTTCTTTTGAGGACAAAGAGATAACCTTACAACTCCCTCAAGAATATACCCCAATTCTTGAGAACACTCTTTCTCAAAGAGAATATTACAAATTCACAAACTTAATGAAAAACCTCATAAGGCAAATGTGTCTGCACAATTCCAGAACAAAGAAAGAACACTCATGAATAATACAATGGAGCACAATAAGTGTTCTTGAAAGCAAAAATGAATATTGAATGAAATATGCTTGAAAATGCTCCAACTTGAGGTTTGATGCTTTCTCTTTGATTCTCTCTTGATTCTTGTCGATTCTTGTTTCTTGTTGTTGATCAATGACTTCTAAGCTTGTTTAAATACTCCTTCAATTGATTCTGAACGTTGGGGATGATTAGTGGAGTCAATGGAGCCGTTTAAGTGTGAAAACAATTAATAAAACTGCTTGGGGCATAGGGGGGAATCGGTACCCCCTCATAGGGAATCGATTCTCTTAGTGTAAAATTCAAATATTTCGACCGTTGAACAGGGGGAATCGGTTCCCTCCGAGCATTCTTTATTTCTCGGAGCCAAACCATTCACGGGGGAATCGGTACCCCCTTGGGGGGAATCGGTTCCCTCTGCCCATTTTGGTTTGAATTTAATTAAGAAATGATTTTTGACTCGATTAAGGCTCGAAATACTTTGTAAATTTGTTTAACATATTTTTATACTTTAGTAAGGATTAAAAAGAATTTTGAAAGACTTAGAGTAATATTTTGATATTCAAATAATTATATCAATTATACTTTAGAAAACCTTTTGTAAAATCCTAAAATTCATTTAACTTAATTTGTTATATTGAAACATCAAAATGTTTTTAACAATCTCTCCCTTTTTGATATAACAAAACAAAAGTGTAATGGTAAAATTGGTCATATATCTAAAATGATGCACAAAATTAAAATTTAAGCAAATTCACATATAAGTTCAAATCATCCATAACATCCAAAACATAAATTCAAACATATAAGCATCCAAATTCAAACAATCCACAAATCCAAACATCCAAAATGTTAAAACAATACTTTCTAATTTACATCTAAGTGAAGTAAAGCACAGCATGAATCAAACATCCATAAGAGGATCGGGAGGAGGAAAATGAGCTCGCATTACAGCCATATCATGTGCGAGCGAATTAAGACGTTCATTCATTGTTGTGTTGTTCGCGCGCATCTCCCGGAGAATCTTCAATTGTTGAGCTCCCATAGATGATAAATTGGATTCTATGGAAGTCAGTCGTGAGTCCATGGATGCATATCGAAAATCAAATGTCTCCATAAAAGATTGAAAATATGGAGGCATTTGATCTTCTTGTTGTGCTTGATCCTCATGCTGCTCCGCCTCATCGTCGGTGTCGTCTGCTTCCGGAGGTTGCTCTCCAGTACGAACCCATATATCAATCTCTTCATTGATCTTCCATCCCGATTTAGTTAAAGAAAAGAGATTGATTTGGTTTTTGAGTGGAAAAGCGGCATCAAGACCAACCCTAAGTTTGACTTTTGAAAATAGATTACTCAGAATATAACTGTAAACTAGAGATGAACAGAGTTTCTTATTCGAAACAAGGTTTACGATTTCGACAATTTCAGCAAAGATACTACGAGGTAGGTTGATTTTAAGATTATTTTGGACACGATGTAGCCAAAATAGATCCGAGGCTCAAAGAGTGGAGTAACGGCCTCCGGGTGGTCGAAACCACCAAGAGATCATTAAATAATGGAAACAATCATAGAGATCTAAGATACTCGCACTATTCCTTCGTTTATATTGAGAACCTAACGTTTGTTTTTCATTTTATAAGCCGTCGTTATCTAATCCTAATACGATGGCTATGTATTCCGGGTCAATATAAAAGAATCGTCCTAGAAGATAGGATCAAATTCCTATGGTTGCGGTTTTATCCCTGTTTTGGACGCAAACGACATTAGAGTAGAAGATACGAACAAGTTGGTGATAAACTATTGGTTCAAAGTTCACAAAGTTTATCAAATTTCCACTCTCTAAGGGTAGGAAGATATCTAAAATTAATGTCTAACGTGGCTTGAAGAGATGTAATTCGTTCTTCCCGAATTTTGTAAGACTCAAAGTATTGAGAATACCGAAAGAGTCGATTTTGTCTACGACATGGTTCATTGAAGCACAAATTAAGAATGGTCATATTAGGATCATCGGGATTTGGATTAGGAATTTGTTGGATAGGAGGTGGATTTTGAGGTTGGCTAGATCGACTAGAGGAAGGTCTAGAACGTTTGTGAGACATGACGTAAGATAATCGGAATGGAAAGAGTAACCTGCAATTTTAAAAACACATGTATGCAACAAATATTAATCCCAAAACTCAATTGAGTCCGCAATATTTCAAGGTTCTCTAAACCGAATCCTAATGGGCAAAGTTTTGAAAAATTATGTTTGAAAAACAAGTTTTGAAAATTAATATGCGTATAGTTTTCATAGTAACAACATAATTAAATCAAAAACACAAATTTTGAAATTAATTAAAGATTTTTGTTTTTTTTATTTCGAAAATTCAAAAATCAATTGAAAAATTGTGAGATTTTGATGAAATTAGTTGTAAACTTTAGTTTAGAAACATCAAATAGTCAATGCCCAATATATAGTTCAACCTAGAACTAATTAAAACTAGTCCTAAAATCAAAATTTGATAAAATAGAAGTTTTAGAAAAATACCTTGAAGATTTTCGGATTTAAGTGAGATTGGATGAAGTTTGCACGATTTTAATGATTCTAACAGGTTTAGGAGATGAAATATGATGAAATTCTGACTTGAAAAGGTTGTTTTGAGAGAAAGAGTTTTGAGAAAATGAGAGTATTTGGGGCGCTTAAATTCCAGACCCCGTGGGGGGTATCGATTCCCCTAAGGGGGAATCGATTCCCCTTCAAAGGGAAAATTGGTTCCTCTTTAAGGGGGGTATCGATTCCCTCTGCACCAAAATGCTAAAAATCCGATTCTAAATACTCAAAATGCTAAATTAATTTGCTCTAGTGGCATTGACAACTCATATATTGAAAATTAATCATGTTCAATCAATCAATTTTATCTTTAAACTACATTTGAACATAAAATTAATATTTACTAAGAATCATAAACTCCCCCTAACTAATAGCAAAGAATGCAATTAAAATTATTATTATTATAAACATTTTTCTTAAAAGTGCTAAAATTAATTTAAACACTAAGTGAAGATAGGTCAGTTAAACCTAATTCTCTCCTAAGTGTCCAAAATCTTTCTTTTTCTAAAGGTTTTGCAAAGATATCTGCTAATTGGTGCAAAGTATCAACAAATTCTAGAACTACATCTTTCTTAGCGACATGGTCTCTAATGAAGTGATGTCTAATATCAATATGCTTAGTTCTAGAGTGTTGGATGGGATTTTTAGTGAGACAAATAGCACTAGTATTGTCACACTTTGATAGGAATGGTACCTACTTCAATTCCATAATCAAAAAGTTGTTGTTTCATCCATAACACTTGTGCACAGCAATGATACATGCATCACAAGGCTCACATCAAAGGAAGAAGTAATAATTCTTCCAAATGATCCACTCGTCCAAGCATTGGAAAAGAAGACCAGAACAGAAGCAGACTTACGACGACTTTTTGAATGGGATCCTGATCTTATTTAGTCAAGATTTCTTCTGGATATACGACCATTTGTCTCTTATCTTTCCAACGGGTCTTGAATCGTATCAATCCGATATCGGGAACTCAAGATATGGCTATTTTACTGAAGACGGTGCATGCAGAAAATCCTATACGGGATTAATACAGGATATTGTAAATATTACGAATTTTCAATATTTTTATTGATTATTTGTAATATAACTTAATATAGGATGATGCATTATCTTTTAGGATTAGATTTATTATTTTATTAGGAATTAAGGTTGGGTTAAAAATATTATCTTTAGTTATTATTATTTTATTAGGAATTAGAGTTAAGATATGTTTAGTGTATTATTATTTTATTCATTAGTTATTTAGGACCTTTAGAACTCAGCTCCTATATAAAGGAGGCTTCATTAAACTTTGTAATTCAAGATTTCTTTGATTAATAATACAACGAGAGTTCGTTTTTGCAAGTGCTGATTGCCTTGTGCCTTCGAAGCTTCTTCTCCTGGAGTTCTTT